ACTCAGACCCTGACCCAGCAGGAGACATGCAAAGCATGGGCTTCTGTCCTAGGCTGGCATTTCCACGCTGCAGTAGGCTTCACACCTCCCCTTGCCTCTCTGGGCCTCAGTTTCCCGCTCTGTGAAAGGAAAAGAAGGCGCTGATTGGACATTTTCTTTGTCAGCACCAGAGGTCTTTCCTCCAATAAAATTGTTTGCAGAAACCTGACGCAGACAGAAAGGAAACACTGACAACTGTGGAGCAGTTAAAATTGAAGCTGTTCTCGCACTGTGTAATCATGAGCATCCTGGCAACCACACAGAGCAGATGGGAGGATCAGCACCGTTACAGCAGATAAGGAAAACGGAGGCGCCAAGGGGGTGAGCTGCCTGTCCAAGGTTATGCACCTCGGCAAAGTGTTGGAGCTGGGATTCGAAGAGACTGTGGGTCTCAGTCATGAAGCCACAGGACCCTGGGACACATCCAGCACCTGATCCAAGTGCTCACACATCCACGTGTGCATGTGAAGGTGGCCAGAGGCCCAGAGCTAGCGGGCACCCTCCTGGGACAGGTCCAGTTAGTGTTTGAGCTGTACCTTGAGCCCAGGGCCAGGATAAAAAGCAAAATGGAGACTGAGGGGCCTCCTTCCTCCTGTGATGGGAAGCCCTCATCATTAGACCATCCTGGTGACCTGATACCCACCAGAGCCCAGGGGAGAGGAAGAGCCACACTGCTCTCTGGACAGATCCCCCGGGAATGCCAGCTTTGCTATCCTGGCTGCTGTTCCCCCAAAACCCCACACCTGTGGCCAGTTGAGCCCAAGTCCGAGCTGTCCCAGACAGCCACACACACAAAGCTGCTTTTCTGCAGGGACATAAGCCACAGCAGCCCTTCCAGGACAGTCAGTCCTTGGGCCCCTCCATCCTTCAGCTGTGCTTGGGATGCTTCCTGCCCCAGGAGGCTTGCTGGGTGGGCATTTGTCTGGTGTTAAAGAAAGGACTTGGCACTGGACTCTGGGAGGCCTGGGCATGGATCCTGCCTCTCTTTAGCCATGTGGACTTGAAGTGTTTAGGGTCCATCCCTGTCTCTGCATTTTTGTCTAGAGCCTGTGAAAAAAGGGTAAGTTCACCACTCAGTGGCACGGCATCAAGGATGTAGCAGGTGGGCATGCGGGACCCCCTGTTTCCCCTCCCTCCATCTGCAAAGATATCCACTGCATGGAAAAGCAGAGACAAGCACTGCCCGCCCTCTGCCAGTCAGCAGCCATCTATTGACCACCTGCTATGTGTCGGACACATGCCGGAGAAAGGAAGGGCCACCTACACAAGCAAGTGGAACAGATGTGCCCTACACAGATGCAGAGGGACAGGATGGGTAGGAGAAGGGAGGGGTGTGAGTCCGGGTTTGAGCAGAGAAACAGCCCACAGGAGAGGGGCTCTGAGGTGTACTGCAGGGAACAGCCGTGTGTACTGCAGGCCGGGGCAAGGCCATCCAGACTCTAGGAGCCTTCAGGAGGGGCAGCCAGAAGTCCTGGGCATAGACCAAAGCTGTCATCTGTGCAGAATTTCAGGCTGGAGTGTAGCTCAGGGATTGAGCATTTGCCTAGTGTGTGTGAAGCCCTGCATCCAACCTCCAGAGCCACAAACCCACAATAACATAAGCAAGTTTTCCTTTCCTCCTGAGAATCCCCGGGCCTGGTCTGAAATCATTCCAGCTTTGTGGATCATCCAGGTAACCAAGGGCCACCCCCTTTGTGGCAAGGCAGCCAACTCTGGACTTCAGTCTTGTCCACAAAACACCCACTCAGCAACCCCTGGGTTAGCGTTCAATTGCATACCTGGGAAGGACAGCCTGGCCAGGCACACACATGGAGCTAGAACCGGCCATGCAAGGCATGGGGAGGCACAGGGGAGGGCAGTAGCTGTGCAGAGGGGAGGGCAGGGTGCAGGGGCAGCTGGAGTTCAGATGGAAGTGGGAAGTGCACCTGGGAGCCAGGAGTGTGTCTGCAAGGTGGGAGCACTGGGAAATGTACTAAAGGAAAAATAACTGGAATAAAGGGATGACTCAATAAATGGCACTAACAGGCGCAGTGCATGTTTCTAAATGTGTCACTATGGCATCCATGGAACAACATGGAAAACTGCCCTGATGTGATGCTCCATATAAACCCCTGAAAGATGGTGGAAAGTAGAATCTGAGAAGAGCTGTATTGAAGGACCAAACCTTGGGAGGTTTTAATATTATTTTTGAAGGTCCCTTTACTGCTGTAACTTTTTAAAGGGAGATTTTGGTTTGAGGAGGACTGGTAGGATATCAGATGAAATTGCTTTCTATTAAAACTACGATACCCAATGTGGGTAAAAGAAACACACCATGCTGAACAGAATAATCTAGCCACAGAGAACAGGAAAGATAAACATTAAGAAGGTCCAGGTATCTGAGAGTAGACGTTCATGACAGCAGCCTCACCATCTTCTGCAGAAATCAGGATGGGAGGGGACAGCCCGTGCCCTCCGGAGTGTTTCTAGAGCATTCCCTGACTATAAAGTGTAAAATGCTGGAAGGTCCCCACTCTGAACATCTGGGATTGAGCCTGATTTTCGGGGTTGGCTGTCTTTGGGAGCTCGGAGGGTGGGGGTTCCCTTCCCAGAACCCCTTCTTTCCCCTTAGGCTCTGGTCTTCCTATGCTGCAGGGGCTGATGAGGCTTAGAAGGCCCCGTCCTGGGTCCCTCTCACCCCAGCCCTTCTCTGTTTGTGTGCTGTAGTCTGAGGTTTACCTGGTGAGTCTCTGAACAGTACCCTGACTTGGTAGCTTGTAAATCAGGTGTTAGAGAAGAACATTTGTCATCCAGGTATTGGGGAAAGGGAGTCAGGGGACCATGTTTTCTAGCTCTGGCCTTGACTACAGCTTGCCCAATAGCCTGGGGGACTTGACTGACTTATGAGACTAACGTTGTTCAAGAGACTGGGATGGCAAAGCACAGGTAGACACGGTGGAAGGCAGAGGTGAAGACATGAAGAAGACAGGGTCCTCCCCTCCTGGACCAAATATGATCGTGTACACACACACACACACACACACACACGCACACACACACACACACAATGCTCACTGAGAGGAGAGGCAAAAGCAATGGAGAAAATCCACCCTCGGACCATGAACAGAGCCCCAGTGTCTCAAGGGTCCCCTGATGGGCAGCAGGTTGTCCCAGGCACACGCGTCTCCATCCAGCTGTGAAATCAGTGTCAAATCCTTAGCAGGTCTGTGAGTAGGAGAGCAGCCCAGGAGGAAGAGACACCCCCTAAACAGTACGCTGCTCAGGTGCAGCTCAAGCAGAGGGTTCTGGTGGTACAGGATGGGTGGCTTAGAGCTGGGACCACTGACTACATGCTTCTGCACTTGACCCACATGGAGGGACCTGCCCCTCACAGCAGCCAGGGGATGCAGGGACTCTTATTCCTTACCCGTTACACCCATGTGATGGAGAACCACAGCGAATGTTTAAATTTAAAACAAATGTATCGCAGTAAAAGGCACATTGCCATGAATCCCCCTCAAAATCCTCCCCCTTGCTTCAAACACACTCATCTCATCGTTCTTGCCACTTTCTGAAGCAGTTCTGGAAGTCCTTGCTTATGAGTGTCTTTAGTTCTACTTCCCTGCCTGCCTAGATGTTCTGAAGTGATTCAAAACATTGACCTTTGACGGCTGTTTTGACTTTGGGAAAGAGCCACAAGTCACCCATGCCAGATTTGGTGAACAAGGTGAAAAGGACTGTTGTGGCTTGCGTCTAGATGTCCTCCCCCAATGCCTCATGCAGTCATAGTTGGGGCTTTTAAAGAAGTGGTTGAATCTGGAGTGTGTAGCTGATTCATGGTGCAATGCTAGGATTAAGGGTGGGTGATTACTAAATCAGTCCACTAACTGGTTTGGCACCACCCTAATCCTGGTAGCCTAGACAGAATATAAAAGGGGCAGAAAGAAACTGCTAAGATCGCTTGCTTGCTTTTGCTGTCTTCTGCCTGCACTGGACTCTTTCTCTTCCGCGATGCCTCTCTGCCATGCCACCCTGCCTTGGAGCCAGCTGACTACAGACTGAAACCTGTATGACCTGTGAGACACATAAACCTCTCTTCCTTTAACTTGGAGTATTTTGTCTCAGCCACGAGAAAAGGACACACTATAAAGTTTTTATGAGCCTGTCTTCCCATTGGATGGCACACAGAAGCAGTATCCATTATATTTTTATCAGACTTGGTAAAGACACTCAAGAAAGAGGGCTCCAGAGCTGCTTCAGAAAGTGGTAATAACAACGGGATAAGTGTGTTCAAAAGGAGGGGGAATTTTGAGGGGGCTCATGGCAAGGTATCTTTTATTGTAATAAAATTTTTAAAATGTAGCCATCTGCCATATATTTTGATCCCCCTTATTGAGAAAAATGAGATGAAATAATGCACTGTGTGGAAGAGGACTCAGTCCATGGCCAGCTTCCAGAGCCCACCTGTCAGACCGTTCCTGTTGTCATTCAAGTCCCCAGCTAATGCTTCAAGGCTGTGCCTCCCCACAGCTCCCCTTCACATTCAGTTTCTGCCTTAGCTATGTCACTTGTATAATTATTTTTTAACATCTACTTATTTTTGAACTATAACTTCATGTCACCAACCTAAATGGAAAAATGACTATTGTTTGTCATTTTAAAAGAAAGATCAATCAAAATATCAACCATCTGTAAAAGGCCGGGTAGTCGTGGGGGACCAGCCACAGCCCTGAGCCTGCTCTCCTTGGTAGAAGGGACTGTCTTTGGGCTTTGTGTGGCTGGAACAGAATGCTGAGGCTAAGAAATGTCTGAGGAAAGGGGTTTATTTGGGCCCCTGGCTCTGGAGGCTGGAAGTCCAAGGCTGTGGTAAGCAGTCGGAGCCCTGTGCCGAATGAAAGGCTCTGCAGACCCCACCTCCCCAGTGCAGGATGCTGCAGGTCATGCTCCCCAGCCACCACCTAACCATCTCTCCTCCTTGTCAGCCCCAGAAAAGTCTCATCCGTGTTCCACACTGAGGCCAGATGCCTTCAGGCTGGAAGAGGCTGATGGTCCCATCTTTTCATAAAGATCCTGTGCCCACCACAGCCTCCCTCAGGTGAGTCAAAGGGACCCTGCAGATAACTCATTAGCCAGCCTGGAGACCTCCCAGGATTGTTGGGCCTATCAGATCCTAGGTGGGAGAGAGATGAAGGAGCAAGGAGTGTTGAGCCAAAAGATAAAACCCTGAGTCCCTGTGGGCAGGTTGTGCTGTGGGACTGGGAAAAGACACTCCTGGCTGGCCCAGGCTAGCTGAAATGAAGGTAAGGTTTCCATCCTGAAGTCAGCACCCAGAGGTCAGGCACACGTGGATGTTCCTGCAGAGACGGGGTGTCTCCCACGTGTGGCTGACAGTGGGTGGAACCAGAGCCCTCTGAAGACAGAACAGGGCAGGGGATCTATCCAGATCTCGGCAGAAGAAAAGGAGGCCAGGCCAGGAGGAGCAGAGTCTGAGGACACAGGGGAAGGGCCAGCATGGTCTCTGTCCATGGCCGTCTCAGCCAGGGCTGTGGGTCCCTGAACCTGTAGCTCCTCCTCGGGACTCACTAGGCAGCCATCTGGTGACTCTGTGGCTTCTCAGAGCCAGCTCTGAGCCAGGCTGTCAGCAAGTAGCATCTGTTGTGGTCTTCTGTCCCTAGCGAGCTGGCCCATGAAAGAGTCACCAACTCCATGAGCCAAATGCTGAGGAAATGGGCTTTCTGTAGCTGCAGACTTGGGGCCAAGGGTTGGATGAGGGGACTGTCCAGGGCAGGTCTCTCCCCTGCAGAGGACTCGGAAAGGGGCCACCAGCTTCCATGGGTTGGGAATGCAGGGCGAGTGGAGGCAGCTGGCGACTGAGTCTCTTGTCTGGAGCCTCAGCTGGAAGAGGCAAAGCTGGGGACCAGAAGCAGCCGATCGCTTCTGGAAGAGGTCTCCAGTTGCTGCCTGTCCATGTGGCTGCTGGCGGGTCCTCCCAACATGGTGGCTGGGTTTCCCAAGAGAGCCAATCTAAGAGGCCAAGGAGGAATCTGCACAGGACTTTATGCTGCAGACTTGGAAGTCACACACCATTACTGCCACCATTGGTTAGAAGCAAGTCACTAAGTCCAGCCCATGCCCACCTGAAGACGGATTAGGCTCCTCCTCTGGAAAGGAGGAGTATCAAAGAGTTGTGGGATGTACTCAAACCATCTCGCCACCAGCGGGATCTTTCTGTAGCCTACTTCCTGTCCTCTCTTCCCTTCCCTACAGTCCTCGGGGAGCCGCCTCACTTCCTGGGAGCTCTTTCTCCCTTTTCCAACCTCGCCTCTTGCACCTCTTGCCTGCCCTCTCCTGCATCTGGTGCTGCCTGCAGGGCGGGGACGTGGGATCCCTCTCCATGCCCCGTCCCCAGGCAGAGCTCCCCAAACCTCTCCAGGCTTTGAGCGGCAGGTGTACCACAGGCCCCAGGATGGCGCGGCTGCCCTGAGAAGCAGAGGGACTTTTCCTGCGAAAGCCCAGAGGCAATGAGCAGAACCTGTCTGTGATGTGCTGCTCAGAGCCTGGGCCAGAAATCTTCCCAACCATGAGCCTCCTGGAGGAGTATCTTTCCCTCCGCCATCCCTTGCCTTAAACACCAAGAGCACAGGGGACAGGCCAGGTAAGCCTCTCTCTGGGTGTGTGCTTTGGGCTTTTCCAAATCAAACCATGCTTTGATTTGAACCTTGCCTCTGCCAGGTAAGGAGAGTCAGGAAAGAGTAATTAACTACTGCGAAGAAGGCAAAATGGAGACTCAGAGAGGTCAAGATGTTTGCCCAAGACCACACAGCTGGGACGGAAAGCTGATGGGCCAAGCACTGTGCCTCTCTGCCACAGGTGGACACCAGTTAGCAAGGACTTCTAGAAACTGGCCTAAGCCCCTGTTCCGAACCTCCCCTGAGAGTGAGAGAGGAACAGTGGTTAATGATGCGGTCACGGACACAGCAGCCAGAACCCTCCAACTTTGGTGCTAAAGTCTGACGTTGGCTGTTTCAACAGGCGACAAAAGTAGCTGAATTCTTGTATTCATTGAACCGAATACAGGGCTTGGGTTTCCTGCACACTGTCCTGCATCCCCTCCCTCCATAATCTTGAGAAGTAGACTTTGTCATTCCCATTTTCCTGGTTAGTCCACTGAGGCTCAGAGAAGTTAACCCAGCTGATAAGTAAGAGAACCAGGACTGGGACCCGGGAGGGCCCCCTGGCTCTCGGCTCCCACCACCTCTCCTTCATGCGTCCTCCCCTTCCCCCCAAGTGGGGAGCTGTTGCTGGTGGAGGGTGTGGAGGTGCAATGCTGCCCTCTGCCGGCAGCAGCCAGCTGTACAGGGAGAAGGGGTGTGGCCAGATGGGCCTTGGTCTCCCCAGGCCGGGGCTGGAGCCTCCCTGCCTGGCGTGACTGTGTTTTTCCTCTCCTACTCATTGCTCGAGGAGTGGTGGTGTGATAAGGAAGGAGTGTGCTGTGCACCCTCTCCTCGGGAAGCTTCAGGGCCCAGACTGCTGACTGTCAGAGCTGCTGATAGACACTGGCCCGGGAATCACCCCAGGGAGCTTGGAGATGAAGCAGTGAGGCCACACTTAGCCCAGGGGTGGAGGGGGCTCCCTGAGATCTGCGAAGTCAACAGTCTCTCAGAACTGGCTGCAGAAATGAAGCTCAGTCCCCGCAGCTTTGCCTCAGGGAGCCAACTGCTGAGCCGCTGGGCCGCCCTGTCCCTGAAGCTTCCGCACTAGCTGCTTCTTCCACTCAGGACTTCTTCGGCGTGTAACACCCTCTTTTCCACTCTCTTTCAGCACCGTCATGTTCAACATCACCGTGCAAGTAGGTGCATCTGCGCTGAACGGAACGCTTGCCCAGGGCAGCAGCTGCCCCGACACCGAGTGGTGGAGCTGGCTCAATGCCACGCAGGCCCCCTTCTTGTGGGTCTTGTTCGTGCTGGCCGCACTTGAGAACATCTTCGTCCTCGGTGTCTTCTGCTTGCACAAGAGCAGCTGCACAGTGGCAGAGATCTACCTGGGGAACCTGGCGGTGGCCGACCTCATCTTGGCCTGCGGACTCCCCTTCTGGGCCATCACCATCGCCAACAACTTTGACTGGCTCTTCGGGGAGGCTCTGTGCCGCGTGGTGAACACCATGATCCACATGAACCTGTACAGCAGCATCTGCTTCCTGATGCTGGTGAGCATCGACCGCTACCTGGCCCTGGTGAAGACCATGTCCATGGGCCGGATGCGTGGGGTGCGCTGGGCCAAACTCTACAGTCTGGTGATCTGGGGGTGCACGCTGCTCCTGAGCTCACCCATGCTGGTGTTTCGGACCATGATGGAGTACAGTGAGGAGGGCCACAATGTTACTGCCTGTGTCATCATCTACCCTTCCCACACCTGGGAGGTGCTCACCAACGTCCTCCTCAACCTGGTGGGCTTCCTACTGCCCCTCAGCATCATCACCTTCTGCACAGTGCAGATCATGCAGGTGCTGCGCAACAACGAGATGCAGAAGTTCAAGGAGATCCAGACGGAGCGGAGGGCCACTGTGCTGGTCCTGGCGGTGCTGCTGCTGTTTGTCGTGTGCTGGCTGCCCTTCCAGATCAGCACCTTCCTGGACACGCTGCTGCGCCTCGGCATCCTCTCTGGCTGCTGGGATGAGCACATCATTGACATCGTCACGCAGATCAGCTCCTACTTGGCCTACAGCAACAGCTGCCTCAACCCACTGGTGTATGTGATCGTGGGCAAGCGCTTCCGGAAGAAGTCTCGGGAGGTGTACCACAGGGTGTGCGGGAAAGGGGGCTGCGTGTCCGAACCGGTCCAGATGGAGAACTCCATGGGAACGCTGCGCACGTCCATCTCGGTGGACCGGCAGATCCACAAACTGCAGGACTGGGCGAGGAGTGGCAGTGAAGGGACGCCACAGGGGCTACTGTGAGTGTGCGCGAGGGCCGACACACAGTTGCTCTTCAGCATGGGTCCAGCAAGGAGCGGAAGACACCCCTCATGACCTCGGGCGATAAGCCGGCCTCTCCGGGAAAACCCAGGAGGTGATTCCTGCCCTGCCCCACTGCATGGTGGGTCTGTGACAATGGGGTGAGTGGGGCCCAGCCGGGGCGCCCTCCACACACAGTATTAGTCTCACCTGCTGCCACTCCTGGGCCAGCCTGCTCCTTCCTAAACATGGAGAGGACCTGGGCAGGGAAGGAATGGCTGAGGGGCGTGGCATGACTGCTCAGAGCTCCAGGAGGGCTGCGCCCCCCTCCGGTGCCCTGAGCCAGGGCACGCGCGGCAGTGCCTGGTGGAATCTTTGTCCTGGGGTTCATTAACCCACACAGCTCAGACTGTGGAGGCTGATTTCTCAGTTAAACTCTGAGGGGTCCCCATTAAGAACCCAGAGACCAGGATTCCGTGGCTCCTCTTTTCTGTGCAAAAAAAGAACCCCGTAGGCACTCACTGTGTACCTCCTGGAGAGATAACGGGACTCCATCTCGGAGGAGCCCAGAAAGCCCTCGGGGAAGAGGAGGCCTGCGGGCAGGCGGGCTCCAGCGGGCTGTCTGTCCTGCCGGGCTCAGGCCAGGCCCTGTGGGAGGAACAGAGCCCCCTCAGCCAGAACTAGATGCACAACCCCCTTGCCTGTGCCTCAGTGTCCCCTCTGTGACACGAGGTTGCGGGAGGGTAAAGGTGGCAACGGGCATCAAAGGACTTTGAGAAGTGAAAGGTGCTACGTGAATGTGAGGCATCCTTATGCACACGGAATGGGAATAAATTAATTATAAGGAAAAGATGCTGAGGTTCAGAAATGGCTCTGTGGATGGGAATTGGCACAGGGGCAGAAGGTGGAGGCCCTCCGTCCCCCTCGGCCCTCTGCCTCTCCTCCCTGTCACCCCGCACACACCTGTGGGCATGGGTGTATGCACACACACACACAAACACACACAGGTGCTGGGGGAGGCCCCTCCCACGTTGGGATCTTGATGAGGCTGGGAGCAATTTCTGATGGGACACTGCACCCTGACCCTGGCCTGCTTCACCTGGTTCCGGTCTTCACCTGCTTTATTTGACCGTGGCCCGGTGTGATCCAGAGAGGAGCCTGAGTAGGAAACAGTGGAGATCACCCGGGGCAGCCACCCATCGAGACCCCAAAGCTTTACTACCAGGGCCTCATCAGCAAGGGTGAGGCCTGTGTCCTGCTGGGCTGCCTGGGCCAGGGCATGCGTGACTTTGAGGAACTCCTTGGGGACAAGGCATCCACAGGATGTTAGCCTGTAGCTAAGCAGAGATGGGAGAGCAACTGGTCCAGAAAGCTCCCCGGGGCATCTGTTTGCCATTACAGGCTGGGGAGAGTGGTGAGGTTGGGGTAGAGGGCGCAGCAGCACTGGCCACAGGCAGAGGGGACAACCCGATCCTCCTCAGGGCATTCGATTATTTTTCTACTCATCTTAATAATCTGCCTCCTGCAGCCAGCATAGTCCAAAGCCCCATGGGGAGATGGGAAGGAAGGTGTGGTCCAGGTCTAGCATCAAGCCACATAGGACCGAGGCAGCTCAGGGTCAGTGAGCCCAAGAGAGGCCAGAAATGAGTATTCAGTAGACAGCTAGCTCTGTCCCACCTGAGAAGCTAGACCCAGGCCAGAGGTGGCAAAGTGCCCATGCATCCAGACCAGTCTCACCCTGAATATGATCATAAAAAGGTAGGTCATGTAGGTCAGTGGTCTCCAAACATTTGCAATTTGGGATCCTTATAAGTGGAGAAAAAGACCCAACATGTATGCTTAGGAATTCAAACATACATTCTAAAATATATTCAGTGAGTAATGGAAAATTTCAGGAAAATGTTACAACATTTCTCCCATCCTCCATGCCTCCATGGACAACTCATCACCAAATCCCCCTCAGGTGCCCAGGCGTCTTCATGAGGCCCTAGAATCACAGAGATGGCAGTGATTCAGTCATCCCTTCACACAACATGTATTTATTAAGCACTTACCATTTATTTGGTCTTTCCCTCAAATTAGGATTATCCACTACAATGTCCAGATAAAAAGTCAATGCTTGTGTAGCCCCAGCAATGAGAACTCTGTTCCATTTTGGGACCCTTTCATTAGTCATGATTTGTTTAATGAATCACTCACTAATTCTTTAAACAAAACTTGCATTCCATGTTTCCATAAATAGCACGGCTGAGCCAAGCATGCACCCACACATGCCAGAGACCTGGGCTCACTGTTCCATGTACCCTCTTTGCCTTCCCTCCCATGGTGGGTCTGCACCTCCTTAGATACTACCCTCAAGTGCTTCCTGGTTCTGTCTGCTTCTTTCTGATGCACCCATCATCTCCTCCTTGTCCCCCCCCACCACCCTACTCTCAGCCTTGCCCACCTCCCAATCCTTGGTCTATGTTTGGCTTTTATCTAGAGGTCTCCCCAAAGCCCCATGTGCTCATACATAGGTGGGGCTTTGGGGAAATGGTTGGATCATGGCTGTGTGATACTGGATTAGTCCATTGATTGGTTTAGCATAGTTGTGAGTGTGGGTAATAGAAAGGCCCATCTTGCATATGGGTGGCACCAATCAATAGGCTTATAGCCTGGATGGAATTAAAAGAGAAAGAGGCTCACTGCTTCCTGTCTTCCCTGCCATGGGCTACTTCTCCTCTGCCATGTTGCCCTGCCTTGCAGCCAACCAACTATGGACTGAACCTCTACAAACTGTGAGCTAAAATAAACCTTTCCTCCTCTAACTTGTGGGTATTGGATATTTTGTCCCAGCAATGAGAAAATAACTAAGACAGTATCCACTGTGCATCTGGCAACATCTGAAAGAACACAGGTGCACCCATAGGAGGTCATGCACATGAAGAACAGAGCCAGGTGCTAAGGCATTGGGAGCAGGGGAACGTGGTTCCCCTTCCAGCTCTGCCCTGACTCTTATTTGCTGTGTGGCCTCCACTCTCTCCTTCATTCTTTCTGAGTCCACCTTTCCTCCTATGTAAAATGTCATCTATGTCACAATCATTAACAAGATGATTGTACAAAGAGTTCGGCGCAGTGCCTGGGACACAGGAGGCACTGAACTTGTGTTCAGTGGGGTGATGGGGACAGGAATAAGGATGTGGGAATGAGGACAGCGTCCTAGGAGAACTCTGGGTTCTGGGCCTCAGGGAACCAAGCAAGGAAACCCTCGGTCTTGTGAGGACAGTGGTTCAACTATTTTCTGGCTATATGATGATAAAGCAATACACATTCAGTAGAAACCACACTCGGCAGTTTGAATCTAGCTGCTTTTCCTGTAGTATGTGGTCCCACCCTCTCTTGGTGCTGGACACCAGCAGTAACTGCAGCTCCCAAGCAGCCCTGAGATCGTAAGAGGACAGGACTGGCACTCAGTCGTGCACTGCGCTCCAGAGGTGGGGCATTCAGCAGGGTCAAAGCATCCAATGTATACTTCCTGGGATACAGTTCCACATCCATATATGGGCCGCCTTCCTCCTTGCCTCTACTGCCCTGTTCATTCTCCCCACTCCAGCCACACTGGACCTAAGTGCTGGGACAGATCCCAGGAGGCATTGCGTTCTCTCTCTGGCCTGAATCCTTCACTGAGCACCCTGAGCCCAAGAGCCTGAAGCCACTCCCTTGTCCAGGGGTGAGATGTAGCATGATGTAGCATTTGTTCAGCACACGAGGAAGTCTGCAGTTCCCCTGGGAAACCACATGGCTGGAACCCAGAGCGGGGCTCTCAGCAGGCAGAGGGGGGCCCAAGGCCTCCTCCCACTGCCCACCCTCCTGGCTCCATGGCCTCAGGGAACTAAGCAAGGAGCCAGGCTCCTGAGTCCACCCTGGCTGTCAGGATGGGGACAGAGCACAGAGAGTGACACACTGGGTGCTACTGACCCCCCGGGGGCCCAGACTGGGGATGATGGTGCCGTCGCTGCATGGAGCCCCTTGCGTGCCATCTTCATGAGTCAGAGGTGCTCCAGCCCTGTTACCCAATCTCTGACCCCACGGCAAAGCCTCCCACAGGCCCGGTCCTTCCTCCCAGCCCTGGAGGATGTGGGGGTCGAGGATGAGCAAGAGAGGTCAGAGTTTGGCAACAGCCATGGCTGGAAGCTTTAGTTTGTCTGTGGTTCTGAGCTGAGGCTGGGCTCCGTCAAGACCCCTCGGGATGCCTCACACCATGCTGAGCACAGGATGGACTTTCTTCCCCCATCTCCCTCCAGCAGGGCAGTGTGAGTGTGACCTCCACTTTGTGGGCTGGAGACTGAGGCCAGAGAGGGCAGGAACTTGCTAAGCCACTCAGTTCTTACAGAGGGAGCTGAGCAGCTCTGCCTGCCATGGGGAGCACACATGTGACAGAAGATACAGCCTGCCACCGAGGAGCCTTTGAAGCAGCTCTTTCCAAGAAGTGCTTCTCAGCCAAGGCTCAGGCTGTGTTTATCACAACAAACAACTTTGCCCCTTCTGGGCCTTGTGAGTACAGACAGCCCTGACTTAGAATGGTTCCACTTACAGTGTTCTGACTTCACCATAGTGCAAAAGCAATGCACCTTCAGTACGAGCCGAGTCTGATTTCGGGTACTGTGAAGATTAAGCGAGATAAAGATATTGTAGGGATTTAAACAATGCCCCCCCCTGAAAATGCATGCTTACTTGGAATTTCAAACTGTGATCTTATCTTGGAATAGGGCATTTGCAGGAATAATTAAATAAAGAGGAGGTTTCACTGGATTAAGATGGGCGCCAAATCCAGTGACTGGTGTTGTTATAAGAGAAGCCATAAGGAGGAGGAGACAGAGACGGGCGTGATGCTCTGTGGGCCAAGGAAAGTAAAGGACACCGGAGCCACCTTCAGCCAGGTGAGGCAAGGGGTGCCTTCTTCCTCGGAGCCCCCAGGACAACCAACTCTGGGCTCTGGCCTCCTGAGTAGCTAGGGAGGGAAGGGTCCCAAAAGAACAGGGCCCTCCATCCTACAGAATTTTAGGGCCTTTGCCAAGGGGAGGACACCAGGCCTTCCACAGTGTCACACAGCGCACTGGGGTTGGGCCAGGCCCCAGAGCGTGTACCACAGGCCTGGCAGCACCAGGACAGAGTACTTGCTCTGCAGAGCCTGGAGCTGGGCCACCCTGTTTCTCTCTTCACCCCCAGGCCTGGGCCAGGCTGACTCTGACCAGGTCAGAAAGGCCAGGAGCTCGGCTTCTGGCTCCCAGATAGCGCAGACATGGCACCACTAGGTGAGAGGTTGTTTATAGACGCCCCTGAAATGTGGCCAAAGATGGGTTCTGAGCCCCCTCACTCACCACACGGAGTCTCCCTGTAAGGTGCCCACAGTGGCCAGCAGAGGCCATCTCCTTCCTCTGAAGTCAAGACCGAGCTGTGTGGCCTCCTGTTTGACAGTCTTGTGCAATAGCAAAAGGGTGATAAAATCAAGAGGCCAGCTGTCTCTGAACAGCCTCACAGGGCCCTGGGCCTCTGCAAAGGGACCACTCTCCGAACTAGGAAGCTGAGGCTCCGGGAGGCAGTGTAGAAAACCACCAAGTCCCCTGCTCGGCGGTGGTGGAGCCAGGACCCAAGCCCTGGTCCAGATTCCAAGCACCACCCCTCCCGACTCCCAAGTCAGCCTTGAAGACCAGTCTCCAGCCTTCTGGGTCAGCTTTGCGTACAAAGCACCTGCTCCCAGGACCCGGGCCTCAGATGGGTGTTACATGGTCCTGGGGGGCCGTCTGCACACCCCTCCTCCTGTCTCATAGAGAAGAGAACCTCAGCCTGAGGGACATCACAGTCATCAGAGGGCCACCCCGTCAGGGCACTGGCTTTGCTCTCTTCCACCCAGTCCCAGCACCATCCTCTCTCGAAGGGCATGGCTTCTTCTATTTTTTGCATGTTTTAGTGGCATTGTTTACTTTTGCAGAATTTGCCGAAGTTTCGTGTCTCCAGCCTACTGGCCTCCCCTGCAGATTTAGAGTTTGTCTGCCCCATTGCAAGAAATAACAAGTTCACAGACAATAGTGGATGATGATGATGGTGGATAGATGATTGATAGATGATAGGTAGATAGATAGATAGATAGATAGATAGATAGATAGAAAAAGAGAGGCAGGTAGAGAAGTAAGTGATAATCAGAAGAGAGGGAAGGGAGAGAGAGAACAAGCACCTGTGGGCTGTCTCCCTGGAGCCCCCTGAGCTTCTATTCTCCAGTCCACTGCTCTCTGCAGCAGCAGCTTTTGGTCCCAGCACTGCTGGAGAGAGCTATCTAGGTACTTCAAGTGCATCTCAATCTTCAGTCCAAACAAACTTTTCTGATCCTCTCTTTAAGAAACCCAGTCTCTAGACTGTTGTGCCAGTGTATACCTGTAATCCCAGCTACTTGGGAGGCTGACGCAGAAAGATACCAAGTTTGATCTCAGCTTGGGGGACTTAATGACATGAGACTCTGTCTCAAAATGAAACATAAAAAGGGTCGGGGATGTAGCTCAGTGTGAAGGCCCTGGGTTCAATTCCAGGTGAAGAAAGGAGAAGAGAATAAAATAAAATGAATTCTCTCTTCATCTTCCCCATCTAAGTAAATGGGTAGCTCCCAATTGCCCAAGCCAGAAGCCTGGAAGAATCTGACTCTTCCCTGGCTCTCTCTTTCCTACACCAAGCAGCCAGCTCTGCCTCCAAACTGCACCTCGAGTCCTCTCACTATGCCTCCTCCTGGGTGTTGGTCCTGGCCCTGCCAAACCCCAGCCACCCCCCCAGCCAGGGGATGTCTCCAAAGGCTTGCAGCTGTGAGGCTTCCCCTGTCCAGTGGCACCATCTAGGTCCCCTTCAGGAAGGCAAGATGCCCACTGTGGGAAGGCTGTGCCCGTGGTCCTGCCTCAGCCCAGGGCATCCAGTGGTGAAGACAGGGAGCACAGGCCTCTGGCTCCCCTTGGACACCTCCCCAGGCTGCTCGGTCTTTCTCTTTGCCTGATCTTCCTTCCTTTCCATTCCCAGGTCCAGAACTCCGAGGCCTCCTACAGCCTACATCATTGAATGAGGACCCTTCAGCTGCTCTGCTAAGCCAGGGCTGAGCTACCCCTGCCCACCACTCACCCCTCTCCAGCTGTTCAAGCCCTTCACCCAAAGCACTCTGTCTCACCTTTTCAGTTCCCCAAGCCACCAAACCTCCTACCCTCAGGACCTTTGCTTGTGCTGTGTCTGCTGCCTGCATCAGCCACTCTTGCTCTATGACAGACTGGGCGCTTCTCGTGCTCCAGGACTCAGCACAAATTCCCAAGTTCAAGCCTTCCCAGGGCTCAGTGACTGGAGCACAGCACTCTGCTCTTCATGGAGCTTACCACAGTCACAATGACTCGTGGGCCGCTCTGCTGTGCGTGTGTCTGTCTCTGTCTCGTGCCGGCTGGGACGGTACGGAGTGATCCCAAGTCATTAAGAAGAGGTTTGGTTATTACCAACAATCCTGGTTCCCCCAGATGCAGAGGTGTGGGGCTCCCACACAGCCCTGTTGTGAAAGGCACCCTGATTTATGCAAAAAGCAAGGACGTGAGGCCTCTGCTCTGCAATGAGGGGATCCAGCTCCATCTCCACGAGAGCATCATCGTGAAAAGCAAATTTTGTCCGGTGCCCTCATTCTTGGCTGTATGCATGGGCCATGCAGGAACCTGGGCAGATTGGCAAATAAAGCAAGAGCTTTGCCAGATGGGCACCGCCTGCCAGGTCACATGGAGAAGGCCAACAGCCTGGGCGGTGCTGGTTAACGTTTACCCGCCCAGCACCCTGTGGACGTCTTGGCTTCTCCAAGTGCCGACTGGCCCTGCTGGCCGCTCTCTAGGTAGGCAGGTCCGGCCTACCCAGAGCTCTCAGTGGCTCCCAGAAGTCCTGAAGTGGGCTGGCGTCCTCCCCTCATCCATCTCTGAAACACCACTCACTCTGGCTGACACTGCCTGCCGAATCCTCCTGCCTGCACCAAACCATGCACCCACACGGGCTGCCCACGGGCAGGGCACAGTGGTCCCCATAGAAAGAATGAGGGTTGGAGTGTGGGACTGTGTGTATGCCTGTGTGTGTGCTTGTAGGACACGTGCTGGTCCTTCCACCTGCAGTGTCTTTCTCAGCTTACCTGCCATCCAGACTCCTATTCATCTCTCCATACCCAGCTTAAATAGCCCTCTACAATGCAGTCTTCTTAGGGTTCCCCAGAGAAAGAGAACCAACAGGAGGTGAAGGTGATAGAGAATTAGCTCAAGGGGTCAGGAAGTCCCATGATCTGCAGCTGCCCAGCACACTGGGCCTCCAGCAGAATTAATCCTTTCCATCTTCATACCCGGACACAGCCTCAGCCCCTACTGCCACTCAGCATTTCACACTTATTGTCACCAGTCAGCCACGGGGGCAGGAACAGGCTTTGTCACCCTGTGCTGCTGGTGCACACAGGGCCCAGCACCCACAAGGGGTTCACAGTACGCTTGCTGGCATGACATTCATGGGGCTGTGGATGTGTCTGGCAAGTCTCACCAAGTGCCTTTGTGCCTCGCCCCTGTTATATACCCCCGTTATCCGTGACCCAGGTTCAGAGAGGGAGCCACACTGGCTGACTGTGTCACAGAGTGGTAGGAAAGGCTAGGACTGGAGCTTTTTTCTGGCTGAACCCCATCCAGAACACCACAAGCCATAATATTTGCATGACGTAAAGACCTCCCACCACGGGGTGTCTTCAGAAGGCAGGGACTTCCGCCAAGGCAAAGGCACTGCCCTTCCCCCAGACTTACATCTCTGACTGGCACTTGGATTCCCCCCCTTCCTCCTCCTCCTCCTCCTCTTCCTCCTCCTTTTCCTTCTTCCACAATTTTTAGATCTCTAGCAACAGGAGAAAACTGCTGGAAAATGAGAAAGTGCAGTTAGCCGCACTGAGGCATCACTCACAGAGGCAGAAGTGCAAAGAAAGGCCTGACTGATGGGAGATGGAGCCCCTGGGTTCCAGACATCTGGGGGCTGCCCCTGCAGGAGCCAGGATCGCCCAGCCTGGGATCCTGGCCTGGCTGCGTCCCTGCATGAAGCGGGCACCTGGACACAGCTTTGTTGTAGGACTGGACATAGCCATAGCCTCCATGGCTTTGCTCTTAGTGTCCGCTGCCTGACTCCCGAAGAAAGCCAGGGCTTTCTCTGTTTCTGAAATGTGAGGCCCAGAGCGGTTCAGCTTGACAGAAGCCAGCTTACATGGAAGCTGGAATTCAGAACTGCGGGGGGGGGGGGTGAGGAAAAAGTGCATCTGATCCTACTCAGCAATGAGCGCTGCGTGAGTCAAACGTGTTCTGAGCTCACTGTTTGGGCCCCAGGGTCCTCACGGAGGGATTCTTGGCCGTGCTCCCTGCAGGACCAAAATGCAGGGGTGGATGTGAAGTTTTGCTCCATGCAAGGTGCTCCCAATCCTCAGCCTTCGGGGCCCGACTGAGAGTGGGGAACATCGCTGAGTGCAGGCTGATGCTTTGGGGGTGCTTCGGAGTGCAGAAGGCAAATGGGGATTCAGAGCCTGGTTGCTAATGACAGCGCCTCCCGGATGTTACACTGCAGAGAGGCGCTGAGTCCTCTGCCCATCCCCAAGTTATGACTCGAGAGCAGGGCCCGTGTTCCTCCAACACCACAGGCCTCTTCGGTCTTGAAAGACTCACTGTTTGACAGCCTGGTGACCTCACTGGGGTGGAGGTGGTTTTATTTAAGGCCTCCGTGTGTCCACAGAGCAGCCAGAACAGAAAGCACCGAAGGCAGCTCTGCCATCCCAAACCCAGCTGGATCCCTGAGTGCTTTCATCTTTTGAGTAAGTAAATGAGCGTCCTTCCTTTCTCTCAGGAGAGCAGAATAGAGAAGGTGACCGTGTCTCTTAGGGAAGAGTAAACAGAAAGCTTCCTTTTACATGTATATGTTGGCGGAACATGAATTCTGTAAGTACACATTTTGAACAAGAATAATTCTACTTAAAATGTAAGAGATTGTAGTTCATGCCCAGTGTGGGTTTAAATTGTTTTTCTCACCAAAGGAGGAGGAGGGAGAGTGTTTGGAACAGCTTGGGAAGTTTTGTTTCGTTTTGTTTATATCACAGCTAACCGACTTGTCAGTGCTGAATAAAACCATCAGGGCCTCCAGTGGACGCTACACATTACAATCTACAAATTCTCATTTACAAACATCAGCTAGTGTCTCCAGGATGGCTCACAAGGTTTTGCAGCCAGTACCTGCTCAGGTTAGATATGGTTTGAAAGTAGCAACTTCTCATGTGACCAGGCTGCCTTTCTTATCTTCTAAGTCTATATTTCAAAGGGCTTCCTCATCACCTGACTGTTGAAATTGGAGCTCACTTGAAGAGGGGTAGAAAGAGCAAAACCATGCTCTTTCCCAAAAAGCATATCCCAGGGATAAAATGTGCAAAATTCAGAAAAAAGAATGCAGAAATGATAGACTTTTCATCTTTAGTACATGTGTTCAGTGTCCCCTCTGAGTTTTCACAGAGAACCGAATATTACTAATAATGTGGATAACTGTGGTTTGAGCACCTACTATGTGCCAGGTAAATCCCAGTGCTAAAGCTGGGAAGTGATGAAACCAGATTCCTGTCTCTGGGTAACTTTACCAGCACAGGCAGCAGCTAGAGAAGATGACCCTTAAACACAGGTCATGGCCACAGTCAGGCCCTGCAGATGGGGGCTGGAGATAGTTGTGGAGTCGAGCTTAGGGTCAAGCTAAAGTCCCTGACTTCCTGGGCCAGATGCCAGTGTCCTATGACTTCTATAGTGAATTACCACAAACTCCGTGCATTTGAACAACACAGTTCAAGAGGCCAAGATTAAAGCCATGGAGTCGACAGGGCTGGTTCCTTCTGAAAGTTCCAGGGGAGATGCTGCTCCTTGCCTGTCCCAGCTTCTGGAGGTCACCAGCACCTCACCCAGTAGCTCCACTTCCATCTTCACGCCAGCAGGGCAGCACTGTCACATTTTCTTCTGATCCTGAAGCCTGCCTCCTCCTCATAAGCACCTATGTGATGACACTGAGCCCATTTGGGCATCCCAGGAATGCGAGAAGGACACAGACACCTTAGGGGGCCATTATGCTGTGGGCCCCACCTCCCTGCATCCCTGAAGGGGGCAGAGGCTCAAAGGTTTTATGCAACTTACACATTTAACATTAACTTCCTTGAAAAACAGAAGCTCAAAACCTAAATTTTCATTAAACATTTGTTTTTTAGCCTTTAACTGTCGGAAGAGTTTTATAAGATTCAGAAGTCCTGCCAAACAATAAAATAGAGTTGTAGACCCGTGGCCACTAGTAAAGGACAAAGTCGCTGTCAGGCGAGCGTGCAGGACCCTGCTGTGCTCTGGGTCGGAACTGCTCAGCCTCCACTGCCAGGGTGTTTCTCCTGCCCCGCAGCAGCAAACTGTCTTCCCTGACTCCCCTCTCCCTTGGTGATTTCACCCAGCTTGTGGCCTTAGATGTCACCCATGTGATTGATCAAAAATCTGAGTGAGGGATCCTTAACTTCAGATCTTGCCCTGAACGCCAGGGGATCTAGCTGGGCAGTAGTCCCCCCGCCAGATGCCTGGGTCTCTTGAGTTGGCTGTGACCCAGTCAGCTGTCCGGTACCCACTCACAGTCCTATTTGTCCCTCAGGGCTCATAGAGGCTGGGAGGCATGGTCACCCTCAGGAAGGGCTTGGATCTCTTCCTGCCCTGTCCGTTTCCATGGAAACTGCTGACTTTAAACATATGAGGGAGGCGGGATGCAGGTCACTGCGTAGCTGTGGATGTGGCCTGGGGTTCAGTGCAGACTGAGGGTCACACCTAGCACTGTCACTCACCACCCAGGACCCTTGGACACTCGGGTCACTTCCCTGGGTCTGGTATCCTCATCCCCTACATGGGGGCAAAAGTGAGCAGAATGGACAGACAGGAGCGCTAGCTCTGGACTCAGAGTGTGGGGATTTGAACCCAGCAGCTGTCCGTTACCATGGAAAGCTCTAAAAGGTTCGCCACCACTGCTCTAGAGGACCACATGGTAAATACACCACTCAACCCTGTCGGTGCAGCCAGAAAACTGTGCAGCATGAAAAAGCCCTGGACAGTATGTAACTGATGGGTGCAGCTGTGTTCCAACAAACCTTTATTGCCCAACACCGGCTGGACTTCGAGTAAGAGTCATAGTTTGTCACCTCCTGTGTTAATTTACACACTTGTCACTGCAGGTCACCGTGGATGGCCTTCCAGGCCCTCCTGAAGCTCCTGTCATCCAACCAGAGCCAGGCTCCCCCTCCCAACAGCACGTCTTGTGCCGGTATTCCCGAAGCCTGGGACGTGCTACACAGAGTGTTACCGACATTCATCATCACCGTCTGCATCTTCGGCCTCCTGGGAAACATCTTGGTGCTGTCCGTCCTCTTGCTGCCCCGGCAGAGGCTGAAAGTGGCAGAAATCTACCTGGCCCACCTGGCGGCCTCTGACCTCATGTTTGTCCTGGGCCTGCCCTTCTGGGCAGAGAACATCTGGAGCAGATTCAACTGGCCCTTCGGAGCCTCCCTCTGCCGTGTTGTCAACGGGGTTATCAAGGCCCATCTGTTCATCAGCATCTTCCTGGTGGTGGCCATCAGCCGGGACCGGTACAGGGTGCTAGTGCACCCCATGGCCAGCTGGGGTTGCCGGCGGCGGTGGCAGGCCCAGGCCACCTGCTTGCTCATCTGGGTGGCAGGGGGCCTCTTGAGTACCCCCACGTTCCTGCTGCGATCCATCAAAGCCATCCCAGAGCTGAACATCTCTGCCTGCATCCTACTCTTCCCCCATGAGGCCTGGCATTTTGTGAGGATGGTGGAGTTAAATGTTCTGGGGTTCCTCCTCCCATTGGCTGCCATTTTCTTCTTCAACTACCACATCCTGGCCTCACTGCGAGGGCGGGAAGAGGTGAGCGGGAGCCGGTGTGGGGGCCCCAAGGGCAGCAGGACCACGGCGCTGATCTTCACACTGGTGGCTGCCTTCCTGGTGTGCTGGGCCCCCTTCCACTTCTTCGCCTTCTTGGAGTTCCTGTTCCATGTGCAGGCCGTGCAGGGCTGCTTCTGGGAGGAGGTCACCGACCTGGGCCTGCAGCTGGCCAACTTCTTTGCTTTCACCAACAGCTGCCTGAACCCAGTGATTTATGTCTTTGTAGGGCGCCCCTTCAGAACCAAGGTCTGGGAGCTTTATAAGCAATGCACCCTTAGAAGTCTCACACCAGTGTTCTCATCCCACCGGAAAGAAACCCTCCAACCTTTCTGGAGGAGTTAAAACGGCAGTGACCCAGGAAGGTGGGTTTCTTTGTTGCTTCTTTCTGATATCATAAAGACCACTGTGGGAGGCTGATTACCTAGGACCTGGTCCTGGAGCCTGTGAATGTACTTTATGGGGTAACAAGGACCTTATCGACTTCCAAACATGGAGATAATCCTGAGTTATCTGGGGGCCAACGATCACAAGGATGATTTATAAGAAGGCAGCAGGAGGGACAGAGTCAGAGACAGGAGGACAGAGGCAAAGGTCTGAGTGTAACAAGAAAGTGGCCAGGAGTAACGGATTTCACGCACCCTCTAGCGGCTGGAAAAGGCAGGACACCTGATTCTCCCCAGAGTTTAGAGGAACAACCAACCAGCCCTGCTGACACCCTGACTTCAGCCCTGATCTCCACAACAGTAAGAATAAATTTTGTGTTATTTTAAGTCATTGAGTTTGTGGTAATTTGTTACAGCTGCACAGGACACTACTACCAGCATCCAGTAAGGGCCTCTATTACATTTCCATTGGTCTAGAATTTTCAAGGCTGACTGTCAGGAGTAAGAGGAGGAGTAGCCAGAGACCCTATGCTATAGGAACTTACATCCTTCTAAGAAATTACAAGAAAGAACCTGAAAGCCTGCGCAAGCATGCCCTCAGACCCAGCACGGAGCACCCAGGGCAGAGAGGCATTGTGAAGGGCACAGCTTGAGGGGAGTCTCAGCAAAGGGTGGAAGCCTGGCCTGGGGGATGGGAGAAAGGATGATGGAGGCACCCAGGACCCAGGGTGGAGGGCTGTGGGCTGCTCGGAGCAAAGCAGGAGAGAGTGTTCTTATTGAATGCTGGCCTATGGCATCCCCCTTCTCTCCAGGTGCCCAGGGAGCCCCAGATGTCTGTGTTCAAGGAGCTCATGGCACAGGGACCATTGTTAGAAGAGTGTCATAGAGCAGGTGAGAGAAGGGGATGTGAACTCCGTGAAGGTGTCCTGTGTGAACAGCCAGGGGGACAGTTAGTCTTCTAGAGGAGGCAACCTATAACCCAACCCAAAGAAGTGGCAGCTGGCCTAGAAAATGGGGAAAGGTATATTCCAGACACAGAGCCAGTCAGACCAGAGCAGGGCTGGTTTATAGGTCAGGAGGGAGAGATTGGAGGAAGGTGAAGAATGAGCCAGTTATGGAGAGCTTGGAGCTGGAGATGAAACATATCAGGAGGGTGCATGGTGGCAGAGAACTCACTGGGAAAGTGTGACAGTGTCCTGGGGCCCATTGAAGCTAGGAAGCATGAATCTGTTGTGCCAATTTAATCTAGCTATGCCCCAAGGGTTTCCTTCAGAGCAGGGCCAGAAAGGCTGACAGATTACTCTGAAGTTGGGTTTTGCCAGATGGACAGCCATAGTTCAAAGAGTTGGATATACTGGCCAGACTGTGGGGTGTAGCTGAAATAGGGAAGGAAACAGGCATAGGAGCATGTTAGTCAACTTGCCATTGCGGTTACAAGACACCTGAGATAATCCATTTAAAAAAGGAAAAGGTTGGTTTTGGCTCACAGTTTCAGAGTTTTCAGTCCATGGCCACTCGGCCCTGCCACTTTGGGCCTGTGACAGCACAGGACATCATGGGGGGAAATGTGGTAGAGACCTGCTCACCTCATGGCAGTTAGGAAGCACAGAGAGACAGGAAGGGACAAGGGTCCCAATATCCCTCCAAAGGTACAGCCCAGTGACCTCACTTCCTTCCACCAGGCTACACCTCCCAACAGTGCCAGGGGCAGAGCACCAAACCCCTGACATGTGGGCCTTGGGGGCCTCTTCAGATCCAACCTATGATGGGAAGTGAGGGCACTGCATGACACCGGTACAGGTAAAGGGCAAGTATGGAGAAACCCTTGGATGGTTGTGCAGGAAGGATAGAACTTTGCAGCCACAGAGCAGGAACATCTGAGTGGAACCTCCCAGATGGAGAGCCGCTCTGTGCAACGGTAAGATCAAGTGTGGCCATGGCATTGGGTGGACAATGCAGAGGGAAGAGGAGAGCGATGGTAGGTAATGTGGTCAAGGAACAGCATGGTCACCTAGTGGATGCTCTGTGCATGGCACCCCCAGTGTTTAGGACACTGCAGGGGCCCGAGGAGAAGAGAGGGAGCCAAGGGCCAATGTCAGTTTCACAGGCAGGGGTAGGAGGTGCAGTGACCAGACCCCAAGACACCTGCTGGGGGCAAATGGCCAGCCCCACACCTGCACAGAAGGGGCTGGTCCTCATGGAGCACCACAGACACTCAGGTTCATCCCAGCACAGGAAAGGAGGCCAGTGCTCCCAGGGCCCGAGACAGTCTGAGAAGCAGAGCCACCAGGACCTCAGGGGAGAGCTGGGGATCAGAGCTCTGGGGCCAGAGCTTTCCTGGACAGCAGACTGTGCTTCAGACAACTGCACTGGGGTCAGCCAGCAGGATCAGCCTGCATGTGTGCTTTCTTTGGACCATGTGATGCTTAGAAGCTGCATCCGAGTTCATTCCCAATACAGAAATGCCACATAATAATCCAGATTCCAGCTTCTCCAGGACATGTGGAAGATCTAGTGACCCTGACCTGCATTCACTCTTCCAGCAGATATGCAGGTACTGAGAACCCAGCAAACAAGAAGGGAGCATTGCTGGTCTTCTTGGAGTTGACCTTCTGGGCTCCCTAGGCACCAACTTTCTGGTGATGAGTGGCAGCACCCTCTGTGGACAGGGGTCCCTCTTGCCATTGTCATACATGTATGTCAGCAGAGGGCAGTGGAGTCTGCAACCCCATGTCCTCCAGCTCCTCCATTCACAGTCCAGGAAATAGGTCATGTGACTTGCATAGGCACAGCCAGTGAGGATCACAGTACCCTAATAGCAATAATCTCAATCCATCTTCTCATTTGATCTCAACTCCCTGTTGGTCCCATTTCCTGGAGCACATTTTCCCCAAAAGGCAGAAGCTGGATATACCAGGCTGGTCTGACTCCAAACCAGTGTGACTTCCAGGGCCCCAGGCACAGGCTGTGAAGCAGAGCCAGGAATGGGCAGGAATAGAGAACTAGGCAAGGAAATGACACCCTGCTTCCCCTCCACTGTGAAAACAGACCTGAGCCCACACTCTCTTTTTTCTCTGTCTGCGTGAAGCTTCTGAGTGACAAAAACTTTTGCTGTAAGTTGCAGAAAGCAATCCCACATTCAAGAAGAATGTGCTCCCTGGGAACTGGGCAAGTCTCACAGGCCTGCAATTCAAGCGGAAACTGTCAGCACAGGCTCAGACAAGTCAGGCATCAGATTTATGGGTGGCAGGACATGTGCCAGAGCCCAGTGAACAGCCCATGGCAGAAGAAGATCTGGCGAACCCACTGTAGGGAAGGTCAATTGGTCCTCCGCAGGCAGAGATCCTCTCCTCAGTTCAAAGCAACAGCACCTAAGGAGTAGGGCATGTTGTGCTTGCCGTGGTTCTGGCTGATGGGGTCACCTGGCATGGTCCACACCTGCATCCATGCCTGGGCTGCACTGGGAGCACTAACACCTGGGCTGATGGATGAGTTTGCAAAGGGTGCTCCAGCAGCCCTGGTCCAATGCTGACATGGGTAGCACTTTCTCTCTGGAAAGGGCCAAGTTGAGGTGCAAAGCTCCTTCCTCATCTGCCGCCAGCTTTGGTCCTATACTAGGTCTTGAAACCATGCAATCAATGGCCTTATCTCGCCTTTACTATTCTGAATGCTGGCTGGAAACAGCCTCCCTGCATCCTTCATCCCCCATTATCTTCCACCCTGTCCAACCTGGGCACAGAGTGGCTTATGTCCCTCCTAATCCCAGCCCCAGGAGACTCCTTGATGTTGCAATGGCCACAGGCAGAGTTTTTGATTTTTTTTTTCTAGAGCCTTATTCATCTTCTTTGTTACTTCTGCTGTTACCATTTCAGAGAATTTAGGTGGGTGGCTTTCAGATTGTTCTACCTCATCGTCACTGGGTTTGCCTTCGGTGACCTAAAAGTCTGGGGCAGTTGCATCTTGTTTAAGTCTCTTCTCACATTCTATTTTTTAAAGTTTAATTCCTGGGTTAATGCTTGTAAGTTGCTCATGGTGAGTAGCTTTATTGTCAGTATTCAGAACCCTTAGGAAATGACTATCTCTCAGAGGTGTCTTCAGGTATATAGCTGACTTTTGGATTTTGAGTCTGCTGCAAGATCCTACCTCTTCAACTTATTGGGGATGAGAAGTTTCTGCTGACTTGGCCCAGCCCCTGGTTCTTTGGCATCGGCCTATAATTTTTTTAGGACACTTAAGCAATCTCAGTCTTGGTATACCAGGAAGAACAACTGATGAGCACACTTATGTCACCTTGGCTAAAGCAGTACAATCAGCAATAACAACAGCATCAAACACAGCCTAGAAAATGACAAACTGTGGTAACTATTAATTTGCCACCTTTAACCATATGAATTAGATTTGTGGTTATATAACAAAATTTAAAATTAACCAGAAAATTCTGTGCAATAAATAAGCCTAAATATGGTAATTTTACCCTTACGGGAACAGATTTCAAAGGGGTTGGGGGAAAATAGAGAAATAGAGGAAGAGGAAGAGATTAGAAGCAAGGCTGAGGCTGCCCGAGAGAGTCGCTAGGAGTACTAGGAGGCGCGGCGGGGCGGGGGGGGGGGGGGTGTTGACGCGCCGTCGACGCGCGAGGGTTCCATTGGCTGGCGCGGAGGCGAGGATCCAGCTGCTGAGCAGAGCGGGGCTGGGCTGGCTGCCGGTGGGAGACGGGAGACGCGGCTCAGGAAGATGAAGATCCAGTTTTGAAGATGAGACTCATTGTGTGATCATTTCATTGAGGTAACTTGAATGACGAGGTGTAAAGTGCAAGAGGAATGTACAGTGACAGAGGCAACTCAAATTATTTTATTGCCAACCTCTACCTCTTTTGATTCTGCAAGAGAAACAGTGCCTCCAGCAGTCCCTGAAGCCCAGGAATCCAGTCAGTTTTCCAACAGACTCGTGATCGAAAAACAGCAGGAGGAAGCAGAATGGGAAATCACAAATGTGCTGTTAATGAGGCATGGCTTAAAACCTTTGTGCCTGGTCAAAAGGACAGATTTTAAAGATCTTATCATTTTTGATAAAGTCATCACAAAGGACGAGGCAGAATTTGAAAATGTTGGTGGAAGAAACAGAACGTCAACAGAACATGATACAAGAGCTCATAGAAACTAATCAGCAGCTTAAAAATGAGCTTCACATGGCATTAGAAAATTCTAGAGTAATTTTTTTAGTGAAATTAGTTGGAACATTTATTAATGAATCTAATAAATATGAATAAAATATGGACCCTATTTGTTT